AGAGGTGGATGGCACCCTGGTTTGCCACAGGGCAGACCATGGGAAGATTTGGGCTTGGACCAGTCCGTATGGCAGCGATGTGTGGACCAGGATCAGTGCATTTATTGCGGTGATCTTGGCCACATAATTAAATATTGTCCAAAGTATAGAGAAGCCCGTTATGCTGCACAAGCAGCAAAAGGCAACCGCTGGTAGGGGTTGCAACTGCCCTTACCCCTAGGCCATGTGGAGAAGAGTGCGCGCACCACAGAGGAACTCCCAAACCACATGAGCCTACGATAGAGGTTGCTGGCCAGTGCCTACACAACTGTCCAGAGACTGCTTGTGTTAGAGTCTCTCTAGGTACTTCCCTCACACGCGTGGCTGAAGAGTTGAAGGAGAGGATGCCCGCCTGGGCCAAGATGAAGAAGGACGCTAAAGGACAACTAGTGTTAGTACATGTAGAGATTTTTAGAGGTAGAGTAGGGGCCTTTATAGACAGTGGGGCCACCCGCAGCTATATCAGTATAAAAGCGCTGTAGAAGTTAAAGCTGAATTTGAAAGTCCAAAAGCTAGAAGACCCTATAGTTAATATCCTCGCAGACAATCGCACTATGCGAGTCGAGGATTACGTTGAGGGAGTCCAGGCGTACTTTTGCCTAGAGAAAGATGAGAAGGTAGAGAAAGTTCTCCATTCCCTGACTCTCCTCGTAGAGGACAACCTTCCTTTCGATATCGTCTTAGGAATGGACTGGGAGAGGCAGCAGGGGCCGCACTGCATTTGAGAGAGCATGAGTGTAGGCTCCCGAGTCCCACAACTGAAGTCAAGATTGCTCGCTTGTTTTATGTGTCAGGAGTAGACAACACTCTGGCATATTGCTGTCTCAGTGCTCTCGCGTTTGCATGTTTAGTGAAGGAGCAGTTAGAAGAACAGGTTTTTGTAGCTTATGTAAGGCCGGTCACTGAGCCTAAGGAGGAGAGACCCATAGACCCTGCTATTGCCAAGCTGTTGGAGGAGTTTACAGACTTAGCTAAGCCGCCGACAGGGGTAGTGCCATGACCTATCCAACCTCGCATAGAGATGAGCCTAGCAGTAGGACTCCTAAGGGTGTTGTGTATAGGATGTCCCCGAGGGAGTTAGAGGAGTTGCGTAAGCAGTAGACGAGCTCCTCGAGAAGGGTTGGATCAGGCCCAATTCATCTTCATTTGGAACACCTGTTCTTTTCGTCCCCAAGAAGGAGGGAGATCTTAGGATGCGTATAAACTATAGAGGTCTTAATGCTATCACAGTAAAGAATGCAGAGCCATTGCCCCGAATAGATGATTTGTTGGATCGGGTGCAGGGCTGCAAATATTTCTCAAAGATAGATTTGAAGTCCGACTATCATCAGATAGAGGTTAATCCTGATGATCAGTATAAGACAACATTCCAGACTAGATATGGGCACTATGAGTTCATAGGGATGCCCTTTGGACTAACCAATGCGCCAACTACATTCCAACTCTGTATGAATGATTTGTTTAGGCCGTCTTAGACAAATTCGTGGTAGTGTATTTAGATGATATTCTAGTTTTTAGCAAGACCCTCTAGGAGCATGAGGGCCATCTGAGGCAGGTCTTGGAGAAGCTTAGAGAAGCTAACTTCAAGATCAACGCAAAGAAGTGCGAATGGGCCAAGACACATGTTTTGTACTTAGGCCACGTCTTAGACGGAGACGACATAAAACCCGAAGATAGCAAGATTGCAGCGATTAGAGATTGGCCAACGGCCCGCACGCTGACAGAGTTGCGGTCGTTCTTAGGCCTAGCTAACTATTATAGGAAGTTCGTCAGGAACTTCTCTACCATCGCTGCACCCCTTCGCAGGTTGCTAAAGAAAGAAGCAATCTGGAAATGGGACAAGGATTGTGCATCAGCCCTGAGGAAGTTGAAGCGGGCTTTGATAGAGTATCCAGTCCTTAAGGTAGCCGATCCGTCCCTGTCTTTCGTTGTTACGACCGACATGAGTCAGTATGGCATAGGTGCTGTTTTACAACAAGACGATGGCAATGGATATAGGCCCGTAGAGTTCATGCCTGCTAGGATGCCTTCAGAGAAGGTAGCGACATCCACCTATGAGAGGGAACTCTACGCTCGCAGGCAAGCATTAGAGCACTGGAAACATTACTTGCTTGGGAGGCATTTCAAAGTCTATTCAGACCACGAGACACTAAGGTGGTTGAAGACACAGGCCAAGATGACACCTAAGCTTACTAGGTGGGCCGCTGAGTTAGGCCAGTATGACCTTGAACTGAAGCTAGTTAAAGGGAAGTATAATGTAGTTGCGGACGCCCTGAGTACGAGAGTTGACCACTTTGGAGCGATAGTTCACTATCTGGATATAGGGAGAGACCTGCAACAGAAAGTTAGAGAAACATATGCGCAGGATCCTATCTATAGTGACCTCCTCATGAGAGTTAGGGAGGCCCCAGAGTCTGAACCAGACTACCGCACTACTGATGGATTGCTATTTGAGAAGACTAATGTAGTTGATAGTATGTTTGTTCCTAACAGTGAGGAGATCCGTAGTCTGATCTTAGGGGAATGCCACGACACAGAGGGACATTTTGGTTGGCAAAAGACACTAACCAACCTCATGCACGCGTATATATGGCCCTGTATGAAGGCTGACTGCATAGAGTATGTACGCAGTTGTAAAGTCCGCCAGAGAAACAAGACTACTACGCGAGCCCCTCTTGGTCTTCTCAGACCCTTGCCAATTCCTGACAGACCCAGAGATTTTGTGTCCATTGACTTTATGGATACTCAGGTCAAGAGTAGGCATGGCAAAAGTCAAGTCATGGTCATAGTTGATAGGTTTAGCAAGTATGCAGTTTTCATCCCTTTGCCTTCAAAGGCACGCACAAATTAGTAGTTCAAAAGTTTTTTGACCATGGGGTCAGTGAGCATGGTATACCGCTGTCTATAATTAGTGACAGAGACACCAGGTTCACTAGTCAGAAGTGGTAGGAACTAATGAGAGTCTATGGTTCGACGCTGTTGATGTCGTCTGGCCGCCATCCTGAGACTAACGGTCAGACTGAATAGATGAACAAGCTCCTGCAGCAAGTTCTTAGAATGTACATTAGGCCCGACCAGATCAACTGGGATGAGATGCTTCCAAAGGTAGCCAGTGCATACAATAACAGCGTGCACTTAGCCACATGTCGCACTCCCAACGAATTGCACAAGTCCTTTAGACCACGCAGACCATTTGAAGGACCTAACCGGGATCAGATTCAGCGGTTACCGCCCGACACACGAGAGTTTGCGATACAGCACGAGAAAGAGATAGCTACCGTTGTAGATAACCTCAGGAAAGCCCAGCACAGAATGATAGAGCAAGCTAACAAGCACCGTCACCCCTCACAGTTTCAAGTAGGCGACTTAGTCTGGGTCAAGTCAAAGGAGTTTGCCCTTGAGGAGAACATCTCACAGAAGTTACTGCCTGCGTATACAGGACTGTGGCCAGTCTTAGAAGTCAAGGGCGGAGAAGATGGACCGTCCTACCCTATTGAGATTCCAGCACACCTCCACACCTACCCAGTGTTCCATGCGTCAAAGGTGTTGCCTTGCATCACAAGTCAACAGTTTCCATCACGCAGATCTATGCTTCCTCCGGATATGGACGGAAGATATGACATTGATGGTATAGCAGGTGAGAACGTCTTCCGGACAGGAGGTAGAGGTCGTCCGCAGAAACAGTACAAAGTCAGATTTGCCTTTCAAGAGCCAGAAGACGACCGCTTCACGCGAACAGAACTTCTAGAGACAGCTCCCGATATAGTCCGAGCCTGCGAAAGAGATAAGAATGGTAAAGGTCCTGCTTTAGACTGAAATATTCTCGGAGGACCTCGAATTTAGGCTGGCGGGAGTGAAACGGTTTTCACCCTTCTGCAGTCACAGATGCGGGCCCTAGAGAGTTCGATCCCCAGATCTTACCTTACCCATGTACAGTATCAAGTCGACCCCTGAGTGTTTGAACCCGCGACCTATGTTTCGGTAGTTGGTTGTGGTCTGTCGTAGGTCTGTGTAGTGGTACGGGTTCGATCTGTAGGTCTGTCGAGTCGGGGTCACAACTCTGTAGAGGTCGTAGCTGTAGCATTTCTGAAAGGTCAAGGTCGTAGCTGTTACAGTCCTGAAAGGTCAAGGTTGTAGCTGCTACAGTACTCGAAAGGCCAAGTCCACAGACTTCCGGAAGGTCCGGAAGTGGCCTTTCCAGTTTCGTCTCACGTTTTACACAGTAGGCCAGAGGCAAGTGGGCAAGTGATGAGTCCAACTTCGCTTAGTCAGTGGTACCCAGTATCAGTCTTATTTTGCACCGTCAGCAAGTACCATGAGGGACTGTGTGCACCAAGGGCCTTGGGGAAAAAGGGGCAGACCAACGAGTTACAAAAGTGTAAATCAAGAGGCAGCGCCCAGCCATCGGTCATTCGCTGCGTAAGCAAAGCGCTGCTACAGCATCTTGTGCGAAGGTGGTCTGCAGGTTGCCCGAAGTCGAAGTGGGCTGAAGAGCGAGATCGTAGCGATAGTCAGTAGGGGTAGGGCGTCCATAGCCGCGATAGGAAGAAGATAGGTTTAGTTTGTGTGTGTGTGGTGGTATTCAGGGTGATCCAGAGTTGAGTATGTGCGAAGGTGACAGCTCCCGTAAGGTGGAGTTGAAGGTGTTGGACACAGTAACGAGAGTTGAGTATGCAGGCGCTGAGGCGCCATAGTTTGTCGAAGTGATTTTGCATCTGAACTGTGTTCTCGTTTCCCATATCTCTGCGCTTTGAGTGGGCGCACTGTGCCAAGTGTGAATCACCATCTGTATGCATGTATGCGAAGTGGAAAAGAAAGCGAGTCTGATTGCATATTGTTCGTTTGTATGCTGATTCTTTGTAAGATGCTGATGCTGATGCTGATGCTGATGTGTGATGAATGATTGTGTGTGTGTGTGTGTGTGTGTGTGTGTGTGTGTGTGTGTGTGTGTGTGTTTTCAGGCACCTCGTGGAGGAGGGCAGCGTCCGTTCGGATTTCAACTTCTCGTTGGAAGTGAAAAGGGTGCTGAACGAGGAGGTCGTAGTCAATGATGACGACAACATTAAACAAGACTTGAGTATAGACGTGTACGGCCGTGCCAAGGACAAGAACGAGATGAAGGAAATCGATAAATTATATAATGCCTAATAAAACAGCAAAAAAAAAAGAAAGGCTCCTCCTCGTCCAATCCTCCCCCTGCTCCTTGTTGTGATAGTAGGTCGTCGTAGATACATAGGTGCAGTGTAATTATTATTTTGTAACTTCAGAAGGAAAATTGCCGATCCCGACCTGGGTTCTGTTGTTCACGGGCTCTTTGTGCCTTCTTGCAGGCTCGCTGTGTGGAATGCATGTATTCATTTCAAATTATTAATTGTTAATTAATTATTAATTTTTATTAATTATGAATTATGAATTATCAATTAATTATGAATGATTAATGATTCATTTCTATATTTTTTCTTTTTCTTTTTTCTTGCCTGTTTTTGTGGTCTTCCATTTTCTAGGTTGGGTTGTTGTTATCTTATCAGCACGACATTCCCCCCCCCTTCCAACCCCCCCCTCTTAGTTGTAGAATTCAATTCTATGAGCAAGGGGAAAAATGGCGGAGAGTTTTTTTTTTTTTTYCCCCCCCCCCCCCCCCCCCGGTGGTGGAGAGTGGATACAGTCAGCAAAACGGTTGAAAATGTTGAAAGCGGAAAAGTCTTCGCTTTCCGAAACAATTGTGATTCACAGGATCATCACGAAGTAATCACTAAACAATTGCAAGATTATTTGCGAGATTACCACAAAATAATCAGCGGCGTATCGACCTGGAAAACAATGCACTATCTCTTTGCGCTGGTAGCAAAGGGTACTACCGCACTTGTAGTTCCTGACCTACGCACCTGGCGCGGAGCGTACTTTTTAGGAACCACCTGGATTTGGTACCACTCATGTTGGGTCAGCCTTGTCCCAATTTCAGTGGTACGGTACATTGTTTTGAACCAGGACAGCCGTACCTCGTGCTGCTGGTACCTGATGCTTTTGAATGCGATGCGACCAAGCCATAAATAGGAAGAGTGCAATGATATAGACCTCTTTCGTACGACCGCCTCCTTTGCGGTGGCGGTGGGAGTGTGGAAAGACCGGAGGTTCTTGGGTGTGTGGATTGTTGCGGACGGGGACGTTGAATAGACTATGATTTGCATTTACCTTGTCATACTTCCTTGTGGAGTGACTACTCTCTCTTGTGAGTTCCTTTTCCATTGAACCAGCTCCTCCCACTGTCGATTTTACAAGGATGTACACCACCCTTCCATTTGTTTTCCTTTTTTTTTTTTTTTTCTTTTCTTTTCTTTTGAAAACGGTACACCACCCTTCCTCATGACCGCATTCTGAATAAAGTGGCAACAAAAGCTGTTGATGAAGCCCATGCTTATGCCCTTCGGCATGGCCTGCCTGTTTGTGGCCTCCGCGGATGGCTGCGTTCCTCCTTGCCAAACCCCCATCTCCTCCATCCTCCACGGTCGCGCTTGTGAACAGGCTCTCAAGACTCTGCACGATGTTTTCATTGTTCCCATTGTTCCACCTTCATTGCCAGGGACATGTTCATCTTCTGCTTGCAACACCACTACTCCTCTTGTTGTGTATCGTCGTCGTCGACAAGCGCGACGGCATATCCTCACTTGTCAGGGGATCATCGGGAGCCTGTTTCTTTGTCTGCTCCGATTCTCTCTGTGCCTGCTCGACAGGTTGTTGCACTTCCTTGTTCCGAATGGCAATATCCTTTCCTATGCCTGCTGCAGACAGCAGTCCGTCCAGCTGCCAGCGTGCAGGCAGGCCGACACCATGTCTTATGCCCTTCAGTGTTAGATATTCACGACTCTCCTGTACAACAGGATGTGGTGGTCCCCACCCGGAGTACACTCACGATTCCATCCGGGGACAGTCCTCCTACTCAGGATGCGCCCCCAACCGTTTGAAGCATTGGGACATGATCTGCCCGATTGCAGTTAATGCCACAAGACGCCGACCACATGGGGGATCTGCGAATGGCGGACCGGCATCGTTTGGATGAACCTCAAATTTGCGCCCCACCACGAGCAAGCAGACCTCGCGGTCCCCACCCGGCTGAGAATGACTGACCAGCAAACAACCCAAGACATTTTGGGCTTGCAACACCATCCGGGTGATCTGCAAATTGTTGGCCAGCATCATCCGGCACACCAGCCTGAGATCCTCGCCAATCTCTGACGTCTGTCTGCAAGTAATATCTGGCTCTTCACATTCTCCACCGCTTGTTATACACCGTCAGACTGCCCTTGCTATCGCCCTTCATCCCTTCAGCTTGATGCTGATCTCACCCCCGACTACAGCCAAAAGGATTGTATTTATATTTATACCCCAAGGAAAGAGGCTTTACCATTGCTTCAGCGATCTGAGGCCCATATCTTTGCAAACTGTTTTTGCCTTCGATATCTCATTTACGGGCAGCGCTGATTTCTGCCTCTTACGCCAATCTGCTTTCGATAATGTCTCTCAGGGCCTGGGTCATGCGTTCCCCCTTCGTACTTTACAGTGATGTCCACTAGAGAGTTATTGAGAGGAGGGCAAAGGGGAACAGAGCAAGGGAACGCATGTCGAAGGGGACAGAGCGAAGGAACGCATGACCAATGGTGGAAAGACCGCAGACTGCGGAGGAACGCATGACGAATGGTGGAATGGCTGAGGAGGCCAAAAGGAGCAGGAAGAAGAAGAAAGAATGAAGAAGAGAAAGAACGAAGAAGAGAAGGCGCTCCTACCTTCTTCCCCCGAATACAACGTACGGTCATTATCGCTGTATTTGAGGCATCTTTCAGTCTAGATACAGCTATAATGACCGTACGTTGTATTCGGGGGAAGAAGGTTGCTGCGCTCCATTCCTGGACAGGGCCTTCGCTTCTTCGTTCCTTCTTCTTCTTCCTGCTCCCTTTGCCCTCCTCAGCCATTGTTTCTTTCCATCATTCTGCGTGAACCTGAAGGGGCTTTCGTCCATGTATACCACCCTCCTTACGATCTGCAGTGATGGTGACAAGTGCATCGTCGAATAGGCTACCAGCCGGGCCGCCCGGGTCACCCTGTTTTTTCCCCGGGCGATCCGGCCGTGCAAGGACCAGGGTCGGTCGCAGTGAAAATTTTGAAAACAAATCCAAAAAATCCGGAAAAAAAACTATGTTTAGTATGTCATAAAAGGGCCTTTACCAGTTCAGACCCTGAATGACGAATGCAGCATAACGGGGGGGGTCTCTCGGCCAGAGCCCAACTCGTGAAAAGCAGATCGAAAGACATGTTCTCTGGGTCAAAAGTCACCTCCTGCTGAGCCCGATCCTCAACATGATGATGTCAGTTACTCCGGGTAGACTGTGAGGACCCCGGCCTCAATCTTCTTATATTGGAAATATCAGCCTTGGGCAGATATTTAAAAAAAAAAAAAAGAAAAAAAGAAAAAAAAAAAAAAAGGTCACAGTCGTGCCCCAGGACGAACAGTTGCAACATTCAATTGTGGGGACCACATCTGTTCAAGTGTTACATCTTCGACTCACACGGGTCCTACCGGACCCGACTTAGGGCCGGAGGGACACACCAGGGCCTAAAGGCCCGACCTTTGGGGTTACAGGCCCTGAAGGCCTGATTTTGGACTAATCCCATCGGGTAGGCCCAAACGACACTTCGTTTGGGCCTGGCGGCGCTCTTGAAGCTGCCGCCCGCCGATTGAGGCTGAACCGTCCATCTGGACGGTCCAGGGTCTGGCCTGGCCTCGCAGCATTGAGGCCAGACCATTGCCTACCGGTATAAGTACCGGTATCCGCCTCAGTTGAAGGATCGGCCTACCGGAACTCTACCGGCACGGCATGGTCAGTGCTAGTGCACTGTTTTGATGCGCTAAACTTAGCGCAGGGGCTGAAGCAGGCGCGCAGCATAGCGCAGCAGCGAGCGGAGCAGCAGCAGGGCGACTGAGCCAGCACGGCGGCCATTGCCGCCTGAGGTACCGGGAGCTTGGAGGGTCTCTCCTCCTCTCCCTCGCCAGTCCCCTCTCTCTCTCTCTCCTCTTTCTTCTTCTTCTTCTTCTTCTTCTTCTTCTTCTTCTTCTTCTTCTTCAGATTGGAGACTATCCAGTTGGACAGAGATCAGAGTTGGATTTCGGTGATATGAGACTGTGGTACTTGCCTGATTGGAGACTTGGAGATTGTTGAGGTTGACACTCGGCTGCATCACAGTTGGACACCGGTTACATCTGGACTCGGTTATCTCCGACATTGGTGACCTTTG